TCTCCAATCATTTCTAATTTTTCTTGTCTGGACATTTGCCTTCCAAACTCTAATCAAAGCCTGGTCCACAGTCCAGCAACATCAACATCATCTGGGAGCTTGTTAAAGAATCTCAGACCTTTCCTCACATCTACTGATTCTGAATCCGTATTTTAATAAGATCTCAGTTGATTCCTCACTGCTGTAAGGTTTGCAAAGCCTATCTCCCAGCATCTATTCTTACCTCTTTATCACCTGCTTTCTGCACAGCTGCCTGAGTAATCTTTTCATTTAATTTGTTTACCCACTGATTATTCCCTCCTCTAGAAGGAAAGTTCCATGAGGGCAGGAAAAGGGCATGAATTTGCCCCACTACTTCAGTCAGCACGTACTGACCTTCTACTGTGTACTAGGCAGTCTGCTAGAGAGCAGGATGCAATAAAAATAAAGGAGGGCTTCTTTCCTCAAGTAGCTTTTAGCTACCTTTTTCCTTTCATGTTTCCAGTTATCAAATTCAAACCTTAGAGTCACCATTGAGTCCTTCTTCTATTCATTCCTCCTTCCAGTCAATAACTGGCTATTCTCTCTATATAAATTTAAGCTAAAAAAACATCTCTCATTGCCATGGCCCCTTTTTTTATACCCACCATCAATGCCCTCTTTGAGCCTTCATTTTTTCCCGAATTATCCTATGACAGCTTTCAACATGCTCTCACACACAACTCTAATTTATCTCACATAGCTATACAAAAAAAGTCATCTGAAAATGCAGTTGAGATCATAATGGTCTCTTATTCAATATACACTCAATGGCTTTCCATTGAATATAGATTGAAAAAACCTCCTGAACTTGGCATTTAAGATCACTTTACAATGTATTAGATTAAACTGAATTAAATTTTTATTTTGCACCCTAGCTGGTTTGGCTCAGTGGATAGAGCACCAGCCTGTAAACTGAAGGGTCCTGGCTTCGATTCCAGTCAAGGGCACATGCCCAGGTTGCGAACTCGATCCCAGTAGGGGGCTTGCAGGTGGCAGCCTATCAATGATTCTCATCATTAATGTTTCTATCTTTCTCCTCTCCCTTCCTCTCTGAAATCAATAAAAAAATAATATTAAAATTTTTATTTTATTTTGTAGTTCAAAAGGGTAGAATATTATCCATTTCATATGGTACAACCTAATAGTATGTATCTACCTTCCCATCCTTATCTATTAAGATTCCCCTTCTGCCTGCACTCTATCTAGAATACAAATGAAATTAGTCGATGCCTGCCAAGCATGTTCACTTCCTTTGGTTCCTTTGCTAATGTTTGTTCTTCCCGAAGCTCCTCCATACATTATCTCTCCCTGAATACTTCTATTCATCCTAGTTCCATCTCAACAGACTCATCCTCCATGATGTGTTTCCTGTTGAGTCCCTTCTCAATTGTTAGTAATCCTGCCATGCAATGAAGTCCCTTAAGAAATTATTCATGTGTCTCTTACATTACCAATGAGCATTGGTGCTGCTTCCTTGACTTATTCTGCTGTACCCACTGAGCTCCAAAAGTGTTTTGTTGTATATACTCCTTTGCAAGTAGAACATCTTAACACATATTTGTGTAATTGGTAGTGCCCTTGGTTAGTAAGTTTTACTTAAGGTTGAATGTGTTAACTGTTCATGATACTGTTCCCTGCTTTTTTATTATTTTGGCCATTTGAAACTTCTGTCATTAGTTAAATTAAAAAAAACAACTTTGCATGATATGGTATCTGTTATGCTATTTAGCAACAGAATTCTCTGGCTAATTTTTTTCATATAGATTACGCAATTCAGTAATGCAACTTCATTGTAATGACATAGGAAATGCTTTATTAATTCATTTACTTTAAAATTTCCTGATATTCCTCCTAAAAGAATAAAGTTTCTTGGGTCAAATATATATTAAAATAAACAATGTATCAGAGCTTGAATAAAGAATAAAGTTTCTTGGGTCAAATAGAAATATATATTAAAATAAACAATGTATCAGAGCTTGAATATTACAATGATGTCTTTAAAGATTTATTTACTTCTACATTATGTATATAAAAACAAGAATCTATAAGCATGGTATTTTAACCTTCTTGCAGCAACATATAAACCATGTACATAAATAAAACATTAAAACAATCACTATAAGCCAAAAATTTACTGGAAAAAATGTAGTATGTTGTGGTTAATATAAAAGACTTTGGGCCAGACTTGTGTTGATCATCCGATTGGAGTCTCAGTTCATTCATTTGCAAAATGGAGACCATACCCACTTCCCAGGATTGTAGTGAGAGTTAAAACGAGACAACATGTGTTAAGGGCTTAGAATATTATCTGGCACATAGTCAACAAGAAACTATAGTTTTATTAATAGAGATAAAGGACAACAAGCACGACTTCTCTAAAGCTATTATGATTCTAGACGTTTCTTTAGAGATTCCTTAAATATATATGTATAAAGTGATGTCATACTGAACTAGTCCATAATGAGCAAGAAAGTGTTCAGGAAGACTATGACATCATTTCTAGTGTTGCATCTACAAAGAGAGAGAGAGGAGGGCCTCCTCCCCTGTGCTGCAGCAAAATCTTGGCTGAAGCCATGAAGAGCAATAAACAATGTCAAGCCTGGGAATATTTAGGAAGTGTCCATAAAGCAACACTCATGCTGCAGTTTGGCATCGTTCCCCTAGCTGGTGAAAGTGAAAGGGACATTTAAAAAATTCTTTCCATCTTAACCTAAAACCAGAAAAATCCTTTTCTATGGAGCCTGGAGACATTTTCAGACATGGTTTGGCTGCTTTTTTACCTGGTAATATCTAATTAATTACCATAAATTAGGGATTTATTATGAATATTTTAGGTAACTAAAAAACAAGATTACAGTGTGCAACCTTATGAAAAACAAGAACAGAAAAGTAATGAGGAAAAATGCAGGTTTTCCCAGCAAATTTATTTGTATATCAAATAATTAAATCAGTAGTTATTTAACTACTGTGGTCAAGGCGTTATGCTATGAGCTGAAGGTACAGTGAAAAATCAGTAAAGGAATTTAATGGTAAAACTAATGCCCAGATGTTGGTTAGAAAAGCCATGATACAGATCCCCAACTCTTTTAGAGTCCAGTAGTCAAATTCTACTCTGATTTGACAATATAAGAGACTATTTGAATGAACTCTGGTTTATTACACAAAATATATCAACACCTAGATGAATTTTTAAATGGTGCTAGAAAATTTAGGGACCAAGATGCTCTTGGTAAGGTAATAAATATGCCACTTCTCTAGTTCCAGGTCTTCTTGACAATACAGTAAAGATTTCTTTTTGGTGGATAATTAGTAATTTCATCCTTTTCCAATTCATGTAAATACCCCAGAGTTCAAAATTAATATAATGACTTCCTAAATGAGTCTCAAAATTAGGAAACAGATTTTCATATGAAATATATACTGTATGGATTTAGTTAGACGGGAAAATACCAAATAGAGGGTTGTGGTTGTTTTCACCAAAGATAAAATTTTTTCACTTACTCTGAGTGAAACCTAACAAGAAAGTATGATCCCAAGGCTTTTACAATATTCAGGAGAAATTGCATGTCCTGTTTGGGGATTTCATACATGATTCCTGAGTAATTTCTGAAGAAAAAGTGCAATATATTTTATCTACCTCTGAATACACGAGATGAACCTAACAGACTAGTCTATTAGATTTTGTTCAGTATCTGAAATAATGCAATTTCCCCTTTTTAGAGCACAGTGGTTTATTTTAACAAATTCATTCTCTTGTGCAAAAATATTATATGATGCTGCCTACACTCTGGAAGGGGGGTGACAGAGACATCTGCCCCTTCCCCCTCTCCCACAATAACCACCCACAGAAGCAAGGCTCTTACTGTTTGTGGAATGAATAAATTAAGGTTCTCATAATTACACATTGCAGAGAAAATTAAAGAAGGACAACGCATTAGTCTCCTTCAACTGCTACAAATATTCATGCTCACAGGTAAATACTCACAGACTTCTAGTATTTCAGCATCAGTAGTTGAATGTTAGCCATTTTTAAAGTATAGCTAAAAAAAAACTGACCTTACTGCGTAAAATATTTTGGGCCAGAGTCTGAGGGGAAATACTGTGTGAATGCAAAGAAAAGGCTTTACTGACGTTATTGATCATCTTCTCATCAAGGCAGAAATGTCTTCCATTTTTTTAAAGCCAAATTACAAATAAAGGTTTTATTGACGTGGGTATACATTAAAGTCAAAGATCACCTTAAGGAATTAAAGAAAAGGTAATACCCATACTCGTCATCTCCAATCTGTATGTATCCTGATGCTGAATTTGAAAATTAATATTTTTCCGGTAAGGCATAAGGCCCGAGAATAATGGATTCAACTGCTTTCATGGCAAGAGGAATGATCACTTTCTTATGCTGTCAATGCCAAATATAGTGTATGTAAAATCAGTTCTTAATACCTAACAACCTCGGGTTTTGAATATATCTGTTGCTAAACCATCCGTGAATAAATTACAGTCTTTTATTCACAAAACCCAACGATACTGAGTCATTCCTGGGCTTTCGTCTCTAGCACCCATTCTATTTGGGAAAGAACAGCCATTTCATTTAGCCACTTAAAAAAATCACTTCTTAGCAAGATTTCCTCAAATAAAATCAGTCTATTTCTCTTAAATTCAAACTATTGCACTTTCAGTAAGATAGGGAATTTTGCATATTTTTAGCCATTATAGTGATAAAAATCCAACAATAAGTCAGACATACTAATATCTGTAATAACTTGCAACACAGGCAAAAGACACAATTCTTTAGATATCTAATCATAAAATAGCCTTGGAAAATGGCATTCTCCCTAGGAAATCATACATGCTCTAGACAATGATCGACGTAGGCTTAAGGATAAAAGACCAGGCACAGAGAGATTAGTTCAAATAAAAACATTCCAATTCCTCCTTGATTTTCCCTCATTTAAACATATAAATGAAACATGTGGTACCTTTTAATTTTCTGAATGAGTGGCTCCCAATCAATGCTTCCTCGGTTACAGACAACAAACTGAAGAATCTACCGAAACAAAACAAAAGGAAAAAAACACATATATAGATTTGTTAACTAAATATTGAAAATTATAACTCACCAGTAAGCAAATGCATTCTTTACATCCAGACAATAAGTCTGTCTTGAGATCTGTAGTACAAACAATGCAGCACTTGAATTTTTAGAAAGCTCGGTAATGAATTTAAAGCATTTTACTCTGACACCACATCAAGCAGATTCTTTGGAAAACAGATGAGAAATAAAACAAAATTAAAAATGTAAACACCCCAGACCATTACCAGCGTGTATGGCGCGATATCACCCAGTCTAGCCTCTGAGGATGGCTGCGGAGTCCTTCTCCCTGAGCAGCATCTCCACACGCTGGCTCTGGCTCTCTAGCTCCAGACACACTGCAGTCTGCAAGCCACCAGCTCCTGTGTGTGTGTGTGTGTGTGTGTGTGTGTGTGTGTGTGTGTGTGTGTCAGGGAAAGGGGAGCTGCAAATTAGAAAACGTCCCCGCAGTGGCGAAAAGGAAAATAAGGCGAGTGGGAGAGAGAGAGAACGCGCACTAGCCTCAGAATTTTCGAGAATGATGACAAGCCACCCAGCTCCGCCATCATTCACTGACAATAAGGTGCAGCAGCCCTGGCTTATGATTCAGTGGTTTGCCATAGGGGCTGCTGGTACCAAATGCCTGACAGGCATTTTAATTGCCTCCATCCAAGTGTGTCCCCCCGAGTCGAGTCTATAAGCCTATGAATGTCATCATCTGGTCTCCTTTGTGTTATTGCCCCACACACACACACACACACACACACACACACACACTGCTTAAACAGACAGTTTTCAGGCATACAGGATTACAAATAAGTTAGGCTCCACAAACTGGATGTGACTCAATGACAGTTTATGAGAATTTTTATTATCTGCATCAATGACAACAGAGATTCTTTGATGTTTTGTCATTGGCAGATAATTAAAATATTTTAAAACTGAGGATTGCATATTGCTTATTTATATTCCAAAATAAATAACCATGCTCATTAGAAAAATGTATACACTTATGTATATTTTCCTATGAAAAAATCAGTCCCCTTGTAACTGTGATAATTATGCACTTGGAAATGTCTTCCTTACAAGGAGGAATGCAAAAAAAACAAAACAAAATAAAACCAAAAAAAAAAAACCCCAGAGGATTGGGAAACCAAGGTTGACGTGTGATTTCTGTGGGCAATCCATTTTATTTCATTTATACACAAAAGCAAAAGGAGCTGGCAACCAGCTTGAATCCTGGGACTTTACAGTCCCTGAGGCCAAGGCAGGGAATTGAATCTGGCATAATCAGTATCCCTTTTATGTTAGCAAGTGAAATTAACAGTTGAATATCCCTATTTTACAGTGCCCCTTACGTAGGGTGGTTAAGTGTGGAATAATTCTCTGCATTTACTTCCTGGACAAAAGGAATGAAAAAATGTTAATAAATTAATTAATTTTTGCAGCATTGCTAGCTCCCTGCATCAGTGAATAAAGCAAATTCAATGTGTACCAAAAGGGCTGGCTGTCACCATGGTTACTGGAAACAGAGAGTATAGAGAAAAATAAGGTGATGATAGATAAAAGAGAAAAAGACTATAGTGGAGGAAATTTAGAGACCTTTGATATGCTTCATTCTTTTCCTTCTGGAAAGAATTGTCTCAGATTCATACTACATTTTGAATGCATTATGATGAATTTGCTTTCCCCATTAGCCACCTTTCTTCTGCATTTTTGATCACTAGCTAATTTTGCTTTCATAATTATACAAATTATGGTTCTTCTGTATGAGATAGGTCCTGCTACTCCATGCCTCTGTCTATCCTGAATTCATGAACACCCCTCAGCCTATTCCACACCCTTTGTTTCATAGGTGAGAAAGCTGAGGCCCAGGGAGTCTGACCAAGGTCACGGAGCTGAGTAGAGATCCAACAGAGACACCATCCCAGTTTCCTGACTCAGGCCCCCTGCTTTTCTTCTCTCACTGAGTGGCTTTCTTTCCATGCTATCTCCCATTCTGTTTGTAAGCAAAACAGATTCTAGAAACATCGTTTGTGTTTGATTTTGTAATGCTTCTTTTATTGGCTAAAGCAGAACTAGTTTTGCTTAATATCTGTGCTGTAATAATGAGGTCTGAAGAATGTGGGGTGATTATGTCACCGCTTTCCTTTCATTTCCAGTCTGGCAATCAGATGAATCAAGCATGATTGCCCTTCTGTGAACCTATCTTGTTGAACTTGAACTTAATGATCATATCCTAGGAATGCTATCATCCCTGGCATCATTCTCCCTGCGGGCATGAAGTTGAGCAATCGCATCAGAAAAGATGAAATACTGCACATTTGGGACAACATGGATGAATCTTGAGAATATCATGCTAAGCAAAGTAAGTCAGACAGAAAAAGTCCAGAACCATATGATTTCACTCACATGTGGAATATAAAGCTGAAAGCAACAAACAAACAAAAACTCACAGACACAGACAACAGTATGGTGGTTATCCTAGGAGAAAAGGGGGTGGGGAGGTAGAAGAGGGTAATGGGAGTCAAATATATGGTGACAGAAGGAGACTTGACTTTGGGTGGTGCACACACAATGCAATACACAGATGATGTATTATAGAACTGTATACTTGAAACCTATATAGTTTTATTAACCTACTTACCCCCATACATTTAATAAAACTTTTAAAAGGGAAATTGGACACGAATTGAGTTGGCCTCCCAAGGTTCCTTCTAGTTATAAACAATGTGAACCTTCTTGGGATTACCCAAAATAATGAAGCCAGAAAATTGGAAGTAAAATTAAAATAATAAT